TGGGAGAGTAGTCAGGTTGTTTTGTTTTTTAAATACCAGCCCTCCTCAGCAATAACTAAGAGGAAGGGGAGAAAGTGATGGAGGCTTACTTAAGTGCATCTAATACTGAAACTTCCTTTCATTTTTACCTACTCCTTCTCTCCACCCCTGTATCCTCAGAGGTGGCTGGCAAATAGGAAAAGGTGACTTGACTATTAAGGCAGCCAGACTAGATCAGAGAGCCCAGCAGAGTTCAAATAGCCCAGAGCCAAGCCAGGTCAAGCCCACCGAGGAGGAGAGGGTAAGATTGGGGGTTGCTGGAACTTGAGAAAGGACATCAGAGTCGAAGGTGGGGTACTGGCTTGGTCACATCCTGGAAGAAAGGGTGAGCCAGAGCTGCCTTTGCCGAAATCCGCTTGTTGGGGTCATAGTGCAGCATTTGCTGGAGGGAAAGATGTATGCTGACTTCAGTGATGTGACAGTGGACTAAACGGGCAGCATGAGTTCCCAGAAATCAGGAAACCAGAACTTCTTTTACCCAGGGCAGAGTTTTCATTTCCCTCCTCCCATATCTGAATTAATGTGCCAACAGGGAGAGAAGCAGGGACTAGGGAAATGCTGGGACCCAGAGTTCAGGGTCTCATTTTTTCTTCATCCTGGGAAAGCCCAGCCCTGGAGGAATAAATGAGGGGAAACAAGTGCCCACTCCCCACTCTCACCGATAACAAGCTCCGTCCATCTTCATCCAGGGGAGGCACGACTTTGCTAAAATCTTGCCGGGCCCACTTGGGGAAGCTTGGCTTATAGTCAGGCATAGAAGTAACTCCTGGCCATACCACCTCATCTGGGGTCCCCAGAGTTCGAAAGATCCGAAAGAGTTGATCAATCTCAGAATCTCCAGGGAATAGGGCCCGGCGGGTCACCTGAAAATGGGGAAAGAGGAAAGGCCAAGACCCATGTTGACATCAGTCAAACTGGCCCCTGTATAAAGGAGGTTCCCACAAGCAGTGGAAGGTCAACAGGGCCCCATGACTCCCTCCCCAGGACCTTTCATGTGGTCAGTCACACAGAGCCTGAGACAATGAAGTCCCTTCATCTGTCTCCTTGCCCCCTCCTTCCTTCCCCCAACCATGGCTTTGCAGATCCCCAAGGCTGGGTGGGGCTGGGAGGGGAGAATGTCTGGGGTGCCACTGACATGTAGCAAAGGGATCCCAAGACACTCACGGGGTGTGGGGTAGACACTGCGGTCATCCCCACTCCTTGTGGTGCAGCCACTTCTAGATAGGAGCACAGCGGGCAGAGACTGTGTCTTCCATTTCTTCTATGTTCCCCACAGCACCTAGCATGGTGCTGGGTACACACTAGGTGCTTAACAAATATTTTTGATGAATTGAGAGAGGAATATGGGCAATTGTAAGGTTATGCACTGGGGGATATGCACACTGTATATGTATGTATATATAGGCCGATGGTCTCCAAGTCCCCAGTTACAACCCAGATACAGGACCATAAAACATATTGCTGATTTGATATGAAGACTCAACCTACTCCACTGTTGTGTTCAAGGGGATGGGAGCTCCCACATAAAGTTGGGCCTCAAGGACCCTTCAATCTGAAATGCCAGACGTTGAGAGGGGACACGGTCTAAGTGTGCAGTTTAAATGAAGGGTATGGATAAAGTGAATGCAGTTGGCTTCACTACATTCCTGCCCCCCTACAACAAGCTCTACAGACCAAATGAAGGAGGCTCTAAATGGAACTCATTCTCCCAAATATATGCAGACTAAAGCTAAAACAATGCAGTTGGCTTCACTACATTCCTGCCCCCCTACAACAAGCTCTACAGACCAAATGAAGGGGGCTCTAAATGGAACTCATTCTCCCAAATATATGCAGACTAAAGCTAAAACAGTTGCAGAAATGATTTAGTTCATTTCAGGGATAAGAGGTGTATACTAGATACTAAGCCTGTTTGAGGAGATCCTAACATTGTGATTGATATCAGGACAACAGTCCTATCCTTTCCCCACAACCCCTCTTGGTGCTACTCTAGAGAGAGTACCCTGTGATAGAAGAGTCATAGGTCTGGGCCAAGAAACAGTTCTGTTGTTCTTAGATGTGGGGAGGAGTGGGCTGGGTGGAACTTGGGCAAGCCTCCATACCATCTCAGCAAAAATGCAGCCAAGGCTCCAGATGTCCACGGCTGTGGAATAGTATTTGCACCCCAGGAGAATTTCAGGTGCTCGGTACCACAGGGTCACCACCTAGAGGACAAGAGGAGGAAGGGAAGGGGAGGTTTACAGCTCATGGAGATTAACACATCTCAGCTCCTCAACACTACTCTGCTAACTCTCAGCCTCTTAAACTGTTTCCTTCCCTCACTCTGATTTCCCCTAAGAGAAATGACTACACACAACTTCTTAGCCCAGAGTTAGCCTAGTCCAGGTTCTGGAGACATATTTTCTGAACCGCCAATTTGGGACCTTTCCGGAAAACTTGAGACAAATGGTCATAATTTTAATGATGTGCCATCCAGTGTTCTGGCTTGGTATGTAAGCCCAGTTAGCCCCACAGTACGAATTCTGTGCATACCCTAAGACACCTTAGGGTGTCAGAGATTCTTTCCATCTACTAAGAGAGAAACTGTTGGTCAGAGATTTTTAGTAACTTTGTGAATGCCCTTGTTAACACCGCCTAGGAAGTTCGGAGAAGAAAAGTGTAGAAAGACTCACCTCATGGGTGTAAGTACGAACAGGGACTCCAAAGGCTCTGGCTAGTCCAAAGTCTGCTAGCTTGATAGCCCCCTCTGTGTTGATAAGCAGATTCTGAGGTTTAAGATCTCGGTGTAGGACCCGATGAGAATGGCAGAAAGCTAGGCCCTGGAGCAGCTGGAACAGATAGCTCTGACAAAGGAGAGAGAGGACTGTGTTTCTCCATAATAATGAGCAGATTAGGGTTTGCTCTGTGCCCCCAAAGCTCTAGTAAAGCCTTTACTATGTTGGATTATAATTATATGTTTACAAGCTATTTCTGCCATTGGACTGTCAGCCCAGTGAGGATAAGGATGAAGTCTTACTCAGTTTTGCATCCCTTTTCCATACCCTGTGCCAAGCACATTGAAGGTGTTCAATAAATTTGCATTGGTAGAGTGTAAGTACCTGGGAGTAAAAAACCCAGCCCTAAAACAGACAACAGAGACTTACTGGCTATTTCTTCTATCAAATAGATAGAAGGGCTTTTTTGAGGAATCTACCAAGTGTCCTAAAATCCCATCTATCTGAGTTTCATCTGACCTCTCACCTGAGCTGCTAGGTTGACTCACTAGGGTTTCAACTTTGATTCTTCAGCCCAACCCTAGGGTTAATGAGTATAATGTGCCAAGAAAGAGACACAAAAGAAAGGGGAGTATATGTATGTACATGAGGATGAGGACTAGGAAGGAGGCCAAGATAAAAAATTATCACTTAGTCTCAACTGCCTGCCTCCAGTCCCCCCAAGACGTGCCTATGATGAGGAGGAGTTGATGACAAGGATTACCTTGATGAGGGGAAGAGGAATGCCAGTGAGAGCAGAGGCATCCATGAATTTCTTGAGATCTTGGTGCAGAAATTCAAAAACCAGGTAGAGTTTATTTTCTGTGTGGATGACATCCAACAGCCTAAGGAAGGGAAGGTCCGGGAAATGAAGGCGAGGAAGAGAAATGTCCAGGCTATACAGACAGAACTCATCCTCCTTTCCTATCGGATCACCTCCCAGATCCATACTTACTTGACAATATTAGGATGGTTCAGCTCCTTAAGCAGAGAGATCTCTCGAATGGCAGTACTGGGTACTCCCTCAGTCTCACTTAGAGAGGTTGGGAAAGCAGAGATGGGAAATATGGTTACAAATATTCCTTTTTTCACCAGCTCAGTCATTCCTTTCCCCCAAGGAGACACCACCCCGCTCCCCTAGGAAAGTAAGAGAAGAGAAAGGGTGCTGTAAGGAGTTAATTCTTGGGTAGTGAGAGTGTGGCTTTTGGACATGTTAAGGTCATTATTTCCACTTTTCCCAGGGGAAAGTAAGTTAAGCCTCCAGGTGAAGGTGAAGCAGAGAGAAGGTAATAGAGAAAAAAATGTGGGAGTAGCATCCAACTTCCCTAGAAGGGCCAGTGAGGTTCAACTGCCACTCTTTTGAAAGGGGGAGAGAATTCTAAGATGAGGGTGGGGTTGGGGCAGTGAGGAAGGTTCATCATGCAGAAAGGTGCTCTTCACCGATTCCCACATAACCCACTTCCGTGGGGGAGTGCTGGACCTCATTCCAGAGGCCTCCTTTCTCTTCCTGAGTCTCTCTGGTTGCACATTTGGGGGCATCATCCGGCTCAGTTTGGGAAAGAAGTTCTCCATGGATTCTATACCACCCCATACTCTCCCCAGGGAAACCTTCTACTGTCCCTCAACCCACCTCTCCACTTCAGAAGAAGTCCCTCCCTGCTACCTTCCGGTCCCTGGACGGCTACCCGCCTGTTGGGGGTGGGGGTGGACAGTCAGGGAGCTCCTCAGTTAGGAGTCCCGGGTACAGAAGTCACTCACGTATCCAGGCGGATTTTCTTGAGCGCCACCACTTCTCCCGTCAACTTGTTTCTGGCTTTGTACACAACTCCGTACGTGCCCTCTCCGATCTTTTCCACCTTTTGGAAGTTCTCCATGAAGCGCAAGCGAGTCGGGTCAGCCCGGCCCTGGAGTGGGGGCCTGGGAACCCTGCAGAAAGCGAGCCCCGGCTCTCAGGGGCCGAGGAGGGGGAAACACGGCCCAGCACTGTGGCCCCAGGTCGGGATGGAACGCAGGGTATCTCTCGCTCTTGTCAATTTGTCCAACTTGAAACAATGTTGCCGCCTCCCCCCAGTTCCCGACCGCCACCAGAGGCCCCGCCCCTCCTTCCCGCGTTTCCCCCGCCCCGCCCCCAATCCTTCCTATTGGTCAACGTCAGAAACGGGTGGGGCAAACCAGCTCTTCTCGCCGCAAATAACCCCGCCCGGTGCAAGTTTGGTTCCAGGGGCAAGACAAGTTTCTCCTTGGTGGGGCGGGTGTACACGTTTTCCCAAGTACCTAGTTTGAGCTCGAGTTTTCTGCCTGTGTCTCTAGTCTGTAAGGATTCCCTGATCTCTAACTCACTATTTTCACTGCTCCTCGGGAAAATGTGTATCGATGTAAGATTAAATTCCACCTGGCCCAGGGATTCGCCTTTGAAAAGCAGGAAGCCGGGAATCTCACTGTAAAGGATTCCTGAGCCTCAGAGTTGTTGCCGCCGCCTCTCAGCCTATCCTGATACTGTCTCTCTCCGGTTTTGGATGCAGGATTCTGTTTTTTGTCTTTTTGAGAAGTTCCTGGTTTGACTTAACTGATTGATTCACTCTCTCTTGATGAATTGTGTGTGTCTGGTACGTGTTAGGTGTGCCTGTCAGTCAGCTCTCTCCCGGGAACTGAGGGTGTCAAGATGAGAATGACCCAGTGAAACCAGAGACTCACTGAGTAGCAGGATAGGAAAGGAACGTCCAAGGACTAGGATCCCTATCAGTTCTGCTTCTCTCCTGTCCTTCTGCCCCTCCCAGGCCTCCCCTAGAGGGAGAGGAGGAAGGGCTATGCAAATGAGCACCCCTTTCTTATATAGGGGCTTATCCCAGTCCCCCAGCGCCTTTGGTTGCTAGAGGGAAGAACAGGATGGATCTGGCGCTGAGAAGGTGTCTTCTACATTTGGTTGTGGTGGGTGCTCTGCTGGCTGTGGGGGCCACAGAAGGTGAGTGTGGGTGCGTGGACATGAGCAGATGTGAATTTGGGGTTGAACACTTTCTTTGGTTTTTCTCCTCCTGATGGGAGATACAAGCAATATTTTATTCTCCCACCCATCTGATTTAGTGAGGATGTGGGCATCTGAGTTTTCCTCCCTACATGGAGATTTGGAATTGAGCCTGAAAATAATCTCTTAAGCTTGGAGGGGCAGGATACTGAGTCTCTGTAGCACTAATTCTAAGGCCTCCTGGTCAGTAAGCTGGAGCAGGGACTTCAAAGGGGTGAAATGAGTAGGAGGCTCTTTTAGGGAATCTCAGGCATTTGGGATAGGGGATTTAAAGTGGGGAGTAAGAGAATATGGAACTGGATAAGAAGGCTAAGGAGGGACCACTTTCCCCACGCCTCGGGATGGGGATGGGTGAACCCAGCCCAGATCTTTTGTTCTGGGGCTGGGAGAGACAGGCAGAGGGGTCTCAGCTGAGCGTCACATGAAAGGGCTCTGGGGGATTGGGGCCTCGTGACAGGAGCAAAGGGCGGGGGTGGGGGTGGTGAGAGGGACTGGAATGTCCCGTGCTGTTCTGAAGAGGGAGGATTGGAAGTGAAGAAAGAATGGGATATCTTGTGGCTTCTCTTGCTCTAGCGCTGGGATGCTCAATGAGGTGATTACAGATTTCCCCCCAGCAGAATCAACTAGGTTTTCAGTACACATTACAAATGAGGTGAGGCTAGGGGGAGGGGAAGAAGAAAAAAAAAAAAAAAAGAAATGAGGTGAGGATAGTTTCTGCTGTGCTGAAATATATACATCACATCCCAGCCCCCCTTTCTCTCTCTAGATCCCTGGTCTCACAGACTTCTAGGAAGTTCTCCTTGATCTGACTTCCCTTGTTTGTGCTGCAGTTTCAAGTCTTTTACTTTTACTATGTTCCTTAATGTATTCTGGAAACAGTCTGTTCACACCCACTCACTTGAGGCTCCTAAAAGACTGTGTTTACATTTTTGATCCTGAGTTTTAAAATCATAAGAAGACATTTTTCTAGATATTCATGAAATTTTATGGACTGGATTTGATAACTTTGTCTAGTGTGAAATGATATCATGTGTATGCAAGAAAATATTTGTATTTTTTCCAGATACGGACTGAATTTCTAGGGTTAAGATAACAAGGTGCCTGGAATTTGCTTTTAAATACTTCAGCCAAAAACAAAAACAAAATCACACCAAAAACAACTACCAATAAGGATAGATAAAGCAAAGGAGGTGAAATGTTGATAGCTCTTTGATCTGGGTATGGTCATGTAGAGGTCCATCATATCCTTTTTTCCCTCAGGCCTCTCTCTTGGTCAGTTACAATAATTTTGTCTTCTCTGTCTCCTCCCTCAATCTCTGCCTGCCTCTAATCCATCCTCCTCACTGTTTGCCGTACTGATCTTTCTAAAACACAAATTTGACCATGTTCAAAAATCTTCTGAAGTGTGAGTTTTATGGTATGTGAATTATATCTCAATTTTATTTTTATTTATTTATTTTTTAAAAAAAGATGACCAGTAAGGGGATCTTAACCCTTGACTTGGTGTTGTCAGCACCACACTCTCCCAAGTGAGCCACAAGCCGGCCCTATATCTCAATTTAAAAGAAAACACCTTCAGAGGCAGTCTTGCCTACAGGATAAAGGCCAGACTCATTAGCCTGGCACTTAAAGCCCCCAACCCATTTTCTCAGGCTCATTTCTCAGGGTATGCATCAACCCCATTGCTAGTAGTCCCTTAGCACGCTATGTGCTTCCATGCCCCGTGCATTTGCTCATGCTAGTCCTAGGGCAGCTCCTCACTGAAGTCTTTCCCAGTCCCATAGAGGAAATAATCTGTTTAGTCTGTCATTTTGTTGCACTATATGTATGTCTGTTATGGCATATATTAAATATGGTGCCTTGAATTATAGTAATTTATACACATGTCTATTTCCTATACTTCACCTTGAATCCCTTCAGAGCCATATTTTATTCTCTTTTTTTTGGCAGCTGGCTGATATTATTCATTTCTTAAGTCTTTTGTGCTTAGAACAGTGCTTGGTACATGGCGGGTATTCAGTAAATTAAAATGTACTTTTTTTTTGTGGCTGTCCAGTACGGGGATCCAAACCCGTGACCTGGGGTTATAAGGCTGCATTCTGTAAAATGCACTTTGAATGTGAGAATGAATGGAGTGACTTGGGATAGAGTGTTATCTCCTGAGAAGGTACTGAGTAAGGATCCTAGGGCCCTCATGGCACATTCCCTTTAGGACCCAGAGACCAGGACTGGCTTGGTGTTTCAAGGCAGCTCAGAAATAAAGCCTGGAACAGGCAGTTGTATCCAGAGTGGATAGAATCCCAGGGTCCTGACTGCTGGAGAGGTAAGAACTTGGAAGTCCTAGGGGAGGGCATAGTAGGAATGGGATGGGGAGAAGACCAAGAAGAACTGAGTTGAATGTACCTTGGGAAGATAGGAAGGAGAAAGGTATATTGGGAAGAGCTAATGCAGCTTCCCTTCCCAGGTGGCCAAGTGTCCCTTCAGGTCAGTAATGACGGGCCTACGTTGATTGGTGCAACTGCCTCCTTCTCTATTGCCCTGCACTTCCCTAAAAGCCAAAAGGTACTGCCAGATGGACAGGTTATCTGGGCCAACACCACCATCGTCAATGGTGAGTACCTCTCTATTCCAGGCCCTTATTCCTAGGACTCAGACTCTGGTGTCTCCACTGAGCTCAGGGAATGTCCCCTTCCCCCTCTATTTTTTTTTTTTAAAACAAAATTCATATGTAATACATACTCATTGCAGTAAAATTGTAAAACACAGATAAAGCAAAAAGAAAAGAAAATTACCATACCTAAAATGGGGGCAGCAGAATTCTGTGGACCTAGAAGTTGGACAGGCCCAGATTTAAACTTGTCACTAGTATGTGGCCCTGGACAAGTTACTTGATTGTTTTGTGCTCCCATATCCTTACCTGTAAAATGGGGATGGTACCTACCTTGAAAGGTTGTTGTAAGGATTAAAATGTATTAATATGTAAAGTACTTAGCATAATGTCTGCTCTAGCCTACAGTATAGACTCAATAAATCTTAGCTGGTGCAGTTATTTTTATTTTTATGTAGCGCTAGCTAGAGCAAACCACTCTAAACATTTTGATATATGGCCTTTCAATCTCTTTCCTTCGTAAGTATATACATATGAATCTTAAATTGTAGTTCTCACATGCCCCACCCCCAACCACCACTCCAAATGGGTTATACCATGGAGAATGTATTTTCTAGCTAGGGAGTATTCCCAGAGCCCCTCTCTGACTCCCTAGGAGCCATCTTAGGGGCTTTGGTGCATAGAAAAGAATGCCAGGGTTTGAAGGTGACTCTATTTACCTTTCAGGGAGCCAGGTGTGGGGAGGACAGCCAGTGTATCCCCAGGAACCTGATGATGCCTGCATCTTCCCTGATGGTGGACCTTGCCCATCTGGCCCTTGGACTCAGAGGAGAAACTTCGTTTATGTCTGGAAGACCTGGGGTGAGGGACGCCCTTCTCTGGCCTATTATCTACACTTGTATTTACTTCTTTCTTTTTGGCCCCGCTCTTTACCTTCTGTTATTTTCCCTCATCTTCATTTCCCCCTTGACTCCTTCCTCTTCCATAGCACCTCACCCTCTTCAACTCTAACATAATTCTTTTTTTTCTGTTTTGTTTTTTGTTTTGGTTGCTGTCTGGTATGGGGATCCAAACTCTGTTATAATTCTTTATGGTAGCCCTGCCCCAGTTGTATTCCCACCCCATGGAACCCTCCATTAGAACCCCTTCCCAGCTCCACACCCCCAGCCCCCATATCACAGCCTTCCAAATACCTTCTGAAGTAGTCATCCTCAGTACACCTCCTGACCTCCCTTCTCTGGTGCCGTTTCTAATCCTGTCCCTCAGTCCCCTTCGACCAGTAATCTCCCCTCCCTGCTTTTCTTTCCAAAAACCTCAGGCCAATACTGGCAAGTTCTAGGAGGCCCAGTGTCTGGGCTGAGCATTGGGACAGGCAGGGCAATGCTGGGCACACACACCATGGAAGTGACTGTCTACCACCACCGCGGGCCCCAGAGCTATGTGCCTCTCGCTCGTTCCAGTTCAGCCTTCACCATTACTGGTATGGATTTAGTAAGGGCAAGGCCAGTTGCAGGGCAGGAAAAGGTAGATAGGCTTGGCTGGATTGGAAAGGGGAAAGGGGCGATGGCATGTAACCTTAAAGGGGTAGGGCCAGGGCCAGGAAGACCTGGGCAGAGGAATGTGGGGCTTAGAGCCAGTGAAGGGCCAGCCAGTCAGCTTGGGGTTAGAGAGGAAGAAAGGGTTTTGAAAGGAGACAGTGCAGCCCAGGCCCATTTCTCACCTTTTCTGGCTCTTATCCCAGACCAGGTACCCTTCTCCGTGAGAGTGTCTCAGCTAGAGGCCTTGGATGGAGGGAACAAGCACTTCCTGAGAAATCAACCTTTGACCTTTGCCCTCCAGCTCCACGACCCCAGTGGCTATTTGGCTGGGGCTGACCTCTCCTACACCTGGGACTTTGGAGACAGTACTGGGACCCTGATTTCTCGGGCACTTATGGTCACTCATACTTACCTGGAGTCCGGCCCGGTCACTGCCCAGGTGGTGCTGCAGGCTGCCATTCCTCTCACCTCCTGTGCCTCCTCCCCAGTTCCAGGCACCACAGATGGGCACAGGCCAACTGCAGAGGCCCCTGGCACCACAGCTGGTCAAGTGCCTACTGCAGAAGTTGTAAGCACTACACCTGGTCAGGTGCCAACTACAGAGCCCTCTGGAACCACAGCTGTGCAGATGCCGACCACAGAGGTCATAAGTACTGCACCTGTGCAGGTACCAACTGCAGAGGGCACAGGTACTACATCTGAGCAGGTGCCAACCTCAGAGGTCATAGGTACCACAGTTGCAGAGATGTCAACTGCAGAGGCTACAGGTATGACACCTGCAGAGTTGTCAACTGCAGAGCCCTCTGGAACCACAGTTGCACAGGTAACAACTACAGAGTTGGCGGAGACCACAGTTGGAGAGTTACCTACCCTTGAACCTGAGGGTCCAGATGCCAGTCCATTCATGCCTACAGAAAGTATTACAGGTAAAAGGACTAGTGCTAATGAGTTTCTTTGAGGTAGGGTATTGGTCACCATTCTACTCTGAAAATCTTACTCAGGACCCAGATTTTACCCAGTCCTTTGCTTGGCTGTGGTCTCTTAGATGTTGCCCAATCCTTTGCTCTGAGGGACTGTGGTCCCCTCAGAGCTCTCACTGGCTCTAAAGTCCTCATGTCTCTCTCTCTTAATGACATGGAATAGGTCTGGAGTTCAGGAAACCAGGGTTTTCACCTAGGCCATGAGGAGAGAGCTTGTTGCTTCTCTACCCCTGAGAACTGTTGGGAAGGCCAGGGAACAAACTGTAATCATTTACATAATATTTATATCTCATTTTCTGTTGAAGTGTAGATGCACAAAAATCTTTCCCAGATTCCAGGACCCTGATTCTCCTATTTCCCATTCTTGGATTCCCATCCCAAAGAAAGAAGGAAGTGAAGAGAGAGGCTTAAATGAGTTAACATATGTTGAGCGTCTAGCCCAAGACCTGGCACAGTGTCGGCGTGATAAACATTTGGGGATTTTTTTTTTAAAAAGATGACCAGTAAGGGGATCTTGACCCTTGACTTGGTGTTGTCAGCACCACGCTCAGCTAGTGAGCAAACCGGCCATCCCTATATAGGATCCGAACCCACGGCCTTGGTGTTATCAGCACCGCACTCTCCCGAGTGAGCCACGGGCCGGCCCAACATTTGGGGATTTTTAAAAACTGCAACTCTCTGCCCCTAATTGTGTGACTCTGGAGCAGTTATTTTCCTCTTCTGGCCCTCAGTTTCCTTATCTATAAAATGAGATTTCCCAGGTGTTTTCTGATTCCAAGCAAGTGACTTCAGGATTTAGTAACTCTGGCTCTACCTGGAAAAATACCTGCTTGGCCTCTGCCTCCAGGTGAGTAATTTGTCCCTTAACCTTGCCTCCTCAATTCTCTTCTGCCAGGCTCTCTGAACCTGATGGATGGTACGGCCACCTTAATGCTGGTGAAGAGACAAGTTCCCCTGGATTGTATTTTGTATCGATATGGTTCCTTTTCCCTCACCCTGGACATTGTCCGTGAGTCTTGCCTACTTTGGGTGCTGATGGAGGGAAGCATGTGCTGCCTAGGGGCTGGCCAGTGGAAGCATAACTTGGGAGGTACCTGGACTGAAAGAATACCCAAATGTCAGGGTCCTTATTTGAAGGTGTGGGGATGAGATTGGAGAAGCAGCCCTAGACCTTTCCTGTCTATGGGCTTTTAGGTCATAGAGGAATCCCAATTAATATAATCTTGCAACTCTGCAGAGGGTATTGAGAATGCTGAGATCCTGCAGGCTGTGCCGTCCAGTGAGGGGGATGCATTTGAGCTGACTGTGTCCTGCCAAGGCGGGTGAGTATCCCATTGCTTGCCCTGATAACTTTTGAGTTGACTGTTGCCCTCCTCTCTGGTGTCCAGTGTCCCTTCCCAGATCTGCTGATGTAAGCTGACACATCTTCCAGGTTGCCAAAGGAAGCATGTGTGGACATCTCATCACCAGGGTGCCAACCTCCCACCCAGCGGCTGTGCCAGCCTGTACCACCCAGCCCAGCTTGCCAGCTGGTTCTGTACCAGGTACTGAAGGGTGGCGCGGGAACCTACTGCCTCAATGTGTCATTGGCTGATGCCAACAGCCTGGCCTTGGTCAGCACCCAGCTCATCATGCCTGGTAGGTACTTGGACAAGAGCTAGGATGAAGAAGGGGAGTGGGCAGAGGCCAGCTGGCAGGGAGCAGACACTGACTGAGGCAGTGCCTGGGATTCTGCTCACAGGTCAAGAAGCAGGTCTTGGGCAGGCTCCCCTGTTTGTGGGCATTGTGCTGGTGTTGATGGCTGTGGTGCTTGCATCTCTGATATACAGGTGAGGGTCCCACCATCCAGCTTATACCCTCTTACCCCTCATTACCATCACTCACTCTTCCTCAAGGGGAGAAGGAACCATCACTCCCTGTGAAGAAGCATGGCATCCCAAAGAGCCCAGGCTTGGAAGTTAGACAGGCCTGGGCTGTAGTCTTTCTGTGGGACCTTGGGAAAGTAGCTTAACCCTTCTGAGCCTCTGAAAAGTAGGAAAACTACTGCCTGCTCTTGGGGGGCTGTTGTAAGGATTAGAAACAATGTGGGTAAAGCACCCGGCTCTGAAATAAGAGTGCAATTGATAATATTGATGACTGTTGTTAATAATATTGAGTGGGACAGTTTGGGTGAACTGAGTTTTCTACCTGCAAGAAGGGCAGATTCCCAGGCTTGGGGTACTAAGGCGCTCAAAGCAGGGAGGCTTATAAAGTGAGAGGGGAATGGACAGTGGCTACCAAAGAAATAAGAGAGGATGAAACCCTGAAGGTGTGAGAAGGAAAGGGAGCTAGGATCAAGGCCAAGACCTGGGATATGGTGTGTCCCCTTCCTTGGAGAAGCAAAGTCAGGCTGCCTTTGTCCATTGCTAACCAGATTTCCCCTTCTCCTGATATCAGGCACAGACTTATGAAGCAGGGCTCGGCTCTCCCCATTCCTCAGCTGCCACATGGTAGCACCCACCGGCTGCGTCTGCCCTGGATCTTTCACACTTGCCCCAGTGGTGAGAACAGCCCACTCCTCAGTGGGCAGCAGGTCTGAGTACTCTCATTTGATGCCATAATTTTCCCAGGGTCGACAGCAACACCTATATTTCCTCCAGTCTTCCCTTGGAGACCACCATTACCTGAAATAAATATTCAGAACCTGGTGCTGTTTTCTCCTGCTTCTTGAGAGAATCTGTGTCATTTAAGGAGTGAAGGTATAAAAGAAGGAGTTGTATCACTTAACACATATCCCACTGGGGAAAAAAAGCCATTTTATTCAGATGAGGCACTTTCAATGTGTGTGTGTGTGAGCACATGTGCATGGGGAATAGTGAGGTGGTACAGAATAATAAATACTGTGAGGGTGAAGGAACACTCCCCTGAGGAGGATGTGGCAGCAATGTACATAGCCAGGGAGTGGAATCCAGGGATGAGAAGGTGGGTTCAAGGCTGGCTTAGAAGCTGAGGGTGTCCCCTTCAGCTCAAGAAGCCAAAGAAATTGGTGCAGCGGGGGGTTGGGCCCACGAGCATGGGCATCTGATTCTTGTGGGTGATCTTGATCTGGAAGAGAAGGGAGCATGTTCAGAGGCAGGACCTGGTGCCTTGGGACTGGAGCATCAGAGATTTGGGGAAAAATGTATAGGGTTTAGGGTGAGTCGCTGGGGCCCTGGCGAGGCCATAATAAGGAAGTCAGGGGCTGAGAAATCATAGTTTGGGAGGAATGGTGTGCAGGAAACTTTGGGCATTTGGAGGAAGTAAAGAAGCTGTTGAATGGAGACTTAGGATCATGGAGCTTAGAATTCAGTTTTTGGCAGGCATAGGCAATACTCACTGTACATGGTGTCTGCATCCAGGGTTCCCCATCAATTTGCATGGGGAGGGTTTTTGTGGTACTGTGGGAGATCAAGGAAGATTGGTGGAGATTTCTTTACCAACTGAATACCAAGACTCTGCTTCTCAGGTTGGTTTTGAGACCCTTTGTCATGGAGGAAGATCTCCTTGAAAAGCCCCTACCCACCACTCCCGTGACCCTTCTGCTCTTCTGGCCCCACTCCTTCCCGCAGGGCCCTGGCTAGAATCTTCCTTACTGGAATGTGATCTCAGAGCACTTGGCCAGCCGATGTCCAGCATTCTTGAGCTTGGTATAGATCTGGCCTATTTCAATTGCACCCTCCAGCCCTACTACTTCCAGTCGCTTGTCACTTAGGTCTGGGGGTGAGAAATAGGGAGACAGGTTTTACAGAAGCAGGATACCCCCAAAGGGAGTCATACCCTCCCCTTATTACCCCCTACTCAGCTCCCAAAGCTGCTCCTCTCACCTGGTACACAGGTCTTCAGGATATCAGGGTCCGTGATGACTTTAGCTGTAGTGCCTAAGGCTTGGTTGATCCCATAGATATCCCCATGGGGTCTCTTGGTATCACCCCAGAGGTTGGAGCCACCATGCATGCTGGGGATGTTTAGTACTGCGATGCCTTCTAGGGACAGGTGGCTCAGATCCAGCGGTTTCCCACATATCTGAGGAGAGGGGAGCACAGCCCCAGTTGGGGAGGCCACAGATCCTCACCTCATGGCATAATCATGGATGTGACCAGTCCCTCCACCAGATGACAAACTGGGAAGGCCTGGATTTGGAGGTTTGCAAGGGATGAAGGGAAATAGGGACTAGAAAATAGGAAATAGCACTTGAGAAATCAGGGTTGGAGAGCTGAGAGGTCAAAGAAGTATAGGTTCAAGAATATGGGAAGTTCCCAAGGGTGCCTGTAGTGGGAGAGATTTGGATATAAGAAGCTGAAAAGGATGTAGGCTTAGTTCTTAGCACACGAACCTCAACTGTTAAAGACTCCTCCAGCTTTTTGCATGTGGAGAAGATGGATTCAGATGTGGCGAATTCGAGGTACCATAGCTTGTTCTTCATTCTGTGTCAGCCCCAACATAAGGCCCAGTAGGGAGGAGACAGGTTACATAGTGCTGGCAGGGGTGGTGAAAGGGAAGGGCATCAACCTCCCAACTCCAGTCCCATGGGGAACAAGGGTAGCTTTGGTTGGGGGGTTTCTTAGAGGTGTCACTGCCATCTAAGCATTCTGGTTCAAGCTTGGTCACAATCTGGTCCCTGATACTGTGTATGCCCACACTGCCCTTTCCCTTCCCTCACCTGCTGTTGAACTTCTCAGGATATTTCTCTCGCATGACGTGGAATTGGTGAGCAATAGAGGCATCCTGGAGAGTTCAGGGCATGTAAGATCAGAGGTCTGTCTTCCCTCACAGTACAGAGCTCTCCCTCTCTCTCCCCAGTCTAAGTGCAGCATGTCCCAGGTTCTTTTCTTGCAACTCACTCCACTATACCCCACTCCCGATTTCCCTGCATCACAGCTCCCTTCACCTCCACCTTCCCTTTCTGCCCTCTTCCAACCTCGCCTGCTTAGTCCCCACTTCTTTCCCCCCAAATCCCACTCCACTGACCACACCAATGGAGAAGTAGTTATTGATTATTTGAAAGGGGACTGGATCACTTTTTTCTTCGGTTTGTTGGGGTATCACTTCCACAGACCATCGATCCATATATACCACCTTACTCATCTCTATATCCTTGAGGATCTTCCCCAAATTCTGTCCCTCATATCCTAGGGGTGGAGAAAACAGATTGCACTGAGCTCTGGGTCCAAGAGAGACCTCCCAGCTCCACAAACCCATCTCAGCTCCCAGCTCCACAAATCCCCAGGGATCATCAGCCCTGGTTCTGCCGAACCTCCCAGCCCTTGCCAGTGAAAGGGCAGAGTGCTTAGTCATGGCTCCCTCAGACCAATCTTAAAGTCAGCCTCTTGCTGACCCTTTTCTCCATACTGTTGTGAGGGATGAATGTCTCCAACGTGGGTGCTCATCTAAAAATGACTCTAGAGTTCATCTGGAAGATTAGAGAGAATAGCCAGGAAAATGCTGAAAAATATGAGTGATGAGTGGGGATAATCTCTTTCTTGCCTACGCCCCCCTCTCTTATTCTTTCTCTCCTCATTCCATCAGACAAAACACATTATAAAGCAATAGTGTCTAAACAGCATGATACTGGCACAGTGAATAGAATAAAAAGCTCAATAGTAAAGAGTAGAGTGCCCCCAAATAGACTCAAGTATATATGAGAACTTAGTATATGATGACATTTGAAACAAATGGGGAAAAGATTGTACAATATTCAATAAATGGTGCTAAATGTAGAAGTCACTTCCTACCAAAATGAATTTAAGATGGGTCAAAGAGTTTCAATGTAAAAAAAAAAAAAAAAAGAAGCAGAATTTGTACTTGAAGAAAACATTAATGAATGTTTTTATAATTTGTGTGTGTGTGTGTGTGTGTGTGTGTGTGTGTGTGGCTGGCTGGTAAGGTGTTTCTATGATCTTTGAGTGGAAAAGACATTTCTTTCTTTCTTTTTTTGTTAAAAGATGACTCGTAAGGGGATCTTAACCCTTGAGGTGGTGTTGTCAGCACCACGCTCTCCCAAGTGAGGCAACCGGCCATCCTTATATGGGATCCAAACCCATGGCCTTGGTGTTATCAGCACCACACTCTCCCAAGTGAGGCAACCGGCCATCCTTATATGGGATCCAAACCCATGGCCTTGGTGTTATCAGCACCACACTCTCCCAAGTGAGCCACGGGCTGTCCCTGGAAAAGGCCTTTCTAAAGCATAATACAAAACTAGGAGCCAAAAAGGAAAAGATGAGTAAATGCAATTATATTAAAATTTAAAATTTCTGCATAAGCTGGCTGGTTAACTCAGTTGGTTGGAGTGTAGCCTTATAACACCAAGGTCACAGGTTTAGGTTCAGATCGCCATGCTGGCCATTTGTGCTCCTCTCCCCTCAAAAATAAATAAATAATGGGCCGGCCCAGTGGCGCACTCGGTAGAGTGCGGCGCTTGGGAGTGCGGCGGCGCTCCCGCCACAGCTTCGGATCCCATATAGAGACCGGTCTGCTCACTGGTTGAGTGCGGTGCGGGCATGACACTGAGGGTTGTGATCCCGTTGCCGGTCGCGGTACGGGCGCGACACCGAGGGTTGCGATCCCGTTACCGGTCATGAAAAAAGACAAAAAGGAAAAATAAATAAATAAATAAATAATTAATTAAAACATCTGTGGGCCGAGCCCGAGGCGCACTCAGGAGAGTGCGGCGCTGGGAGCACAGCAGCACTCCCGCCGCGGGTTCGGATCCTATATAGGGATGACTGGTGCAGTCACAGCGCTCACTGGCTGAGCGCCATGCGGCCGGTCTCAAAACAAAACAAAACAAAACAACGTCTGCATGATTAAATACATATAGACCTTAAAGGAAAAAAAAAAAAAAAGACAAAAGACAAACTGGGAAAAAATGCACATATAACAGATTAATTTTGCCAACATTAAAAAATGCTTGCAAATCACTATTTAAAAAGTCAAAATTGGGCTGGTGGCTTAGCTCAATTGGTTAGAGCCTAGCCTTATAACACCAAGAGCATGTGTTTGGATCCCCATACCAGCCAGCCACCAAATAAATAAAAAGTCAATAGAAAAACAACAAATAATACAAACAAGCCTATCACAGAAGAAAAAATACAAATAGCCAATACATGTATGAAAATGCTCAATATTACTAATAATTAAAAGAATTATAAATTAAGACAATTAGCTAACTTTTTGTTGCCTATCAGACTGACAAAGCATAAGGAGATTGAGAAAACCAAGCGTTAATGAGCTTATGAATAAAATGGCACTCTCATCTGCTGTTAGTTGGAGCATAAATTGATAACTCATTTTTGGAAGACAATTTGGCAATATTTATCAAACTTATCAAATCTTATCAAAACATATCCTTTGACACAGCAATTCTGCTTTTAGGAATTTCTCCTCTAGAAACTAATACACATATGCACAGAGATGAATGCACAAGGAGGTTTGTTGAGGTACTCTCTGAAATAGCAAAAAATTGGAAACAATCTAAATGTCCATGAATAATGGAAGGTTATACACATTATGGCAAATCCATGCCATGAAATATTGTGCAGCTATTGGATACAGAGTGAAATCTACCTATATGTACTAACATCAAAAGGTCTCCAAGACATTATTCAATTAAAAAAGAAGTTCCAGAGCAATCTGTGTAGTATAACCCCATTTATTTTTGCTAAAATGCCATATGTATGTGCATGTGCACACATGTGTGCAGGTAAAAACCAGAAAAATTAGCGTAAATAGGAAACAGTGGTTATCTCTGAGGAGGTACATGGATTTGGTGGGGGGCAGGGAAGAGGAACCCTGTATATGAAGAGTTATGTATGTGAAGAGTCTGAATCTTTTACAGTGACAATGTACTGATGTATTATTTGCATGCTTTTTAAAGAAGAAAATAACTGGTAAATATTCATACTCTTTGAGTCAGCAATTCCACTTCTAGAAATCTCTCCTAGAGAAATGTTCATATTTGTGTGCAGAGATAGATGTGCAAAGGTGTTCACTGCTCAGCATGTTTATTTTTTTTTAATTTATTTTAATTTATTTTTTAATTTTTTATTTTTTTTTAAAAGATGACCGGTAAGGGGATCTAAACCCTTGACTTGGTGTTGTCAGCACCACACTCAGCCAGTGAGCGAACCGGCCATCCCTATGTGGGATCCGAACCCGGGGCCTTGGTGCTGTCAGCACCGCACTCTCCCGAGTGAGCCACGGGCCGGCCCAAGCATGGTTTGTAATAGTAAAAAACTGAATGCTAGGGCCGGCCCGGTGGCGCACTGGGTAGTGCGCCGCTTGGGAAGCGCGGCGGCGCTCCCACCCGAGGGTTCGGATCCCACATGCAGACCGGTTCCCGCTCACTGGCTGAGCAAGGCGCGGGAGCAACACCGAGGGTTGCGATTCCGTTGCCGGTCCCCGGTCCGGTATGGGGGCAACACTGAGGGTTGCGATCCGTTGCCAGACACGGAAAAAGACAAAAAAGACAAAAAAAAAAAAAACAAAAAACTGAATGCTATCCAGAGGGATCTGGCTAAATAAATTATTACACATTTACAAAATAGAATGCTATTCAATCTTAAAAAGAATGAGGCAAACCTGACTGTATTGAATTATAATGATAATCAATAACTGTTCATTAAAAAAAACCCCAAGAAATACATTTATAAAATAATCTCATTCTTTAAATACATATTAGTACTGTATGTGTCTAGAAAGAAAAATATGGAGGAATAGACCCCAAAAGTTTAGAGACTAGATTACAGGGAAATTTCACTTTCTTGGTGGGTATATCTGAAATGTTTGAATTGTTTTTCACCACAAGCATGAATTATTTTTGCAACCAGAAAAAAGAAGATTAAAAAAAAAGTCTCTACTTCTTTGCATTCCATTCAATGATGGTTGAACCCATTGTAATTTGCCTTTCACCCATCCCACCCTGCTGAAACTCTTTTGGCAAAGATTGCCAACGACTCCTGCCAAAACCAATAGTATATCTTTAGTTCTCATTTTAACTCTTGAAACTACTCACTTAACCTCTGAAATATCACTCTCTCAGTTACACAGGACCCTCTCTGACTGTTTCTTCTTAGTCTCTGTGGTAGGCAGAATAATACCCTTTGAAGATGTCCACATCCTAATCTCAAGAACCTGTGACTATGTTACCTTGGCAAAAGAGACTTTGCAGATGTGATTAAATTAAGGATCTTGAGATGGGATATTATTCAGGATTATCTGGGTGGTCCCAGTGTAATCACAGAGGTCCTTATAAATGAAAAAGGAAAACAGGAGAGGATTCATAAAAAGAGATGCAACAAGGGAAGCAGAGGTTGGAGTGAGAACATTGCTAGTTGCAAGAGGGGCCACGAGCCAAGGAATACAGGCAGCCTCTAGAAACTGGAAAAAGCAAGGCAAGGGATTCTCCCCTAGAGCCTCTAGAAAGAAAACGTAGCTCTATTGATACCTTGATTTTAACCCAGTGAGACCCATTTTGGACTTCTGACCTCCAGAACTGTAAGATAATAAATTTATGTTGCTTGAAGCCAGTGTTTTTACTAATTTGTTACAGCAGCAAAGGAAATCTAATACAAACTCCTTTAATAACTCCTCTTACTCTGTTCAACTGTTAAATATGGTGTTTACCAGGATCTTACTGTCCTTGTCTATCTTCTCTTATCTCTTTTCCTGGATAATCTCACCTACTTTCAGGATGTCGATTACCACCTAGGAGCAGATGATTCTCAAACATGTATCTCCAGCACTGATTACTCTCTCAAATTCCTAACATCTATGTCTAACTACCCACCACAACATTTCCATCTAGTTGCTCCTCTGACACCTCAACTCAACATGTCCAAAACTGAATATATCTTCCTTAAACAGGCCTTCCTCCTGTATTCCCCATCTTAAAAGATGGCATCCCCATCTGCTCATTCCACAAACCTGGAAAACGTCCTGGACTTGTCTCTACCTCCTCCTCCACAATCCATCAGCTCCTCATTAACTCCACTGCAGCTGCCTTGGCTTTTGTGTTCATCATCTCTTGTCCAGACCATTGTGATAACAGGTAATTTCCTATCCTGTCCCCTTTCCTCCAATCCATCCTTTGCAGAGCTCCCCTAATGATATTCCTTTCACGTCCCCCTCTTTAAACTTTCTGATTTTTTTCAATGTCAACATAAATTTTCTTTAGTGCTCTATTTATCTTTTTTTTTTTTTTGGTGGCTGGCCAGTAGATTCCTTATATCTTTATTGTCATGATTTAGGTTGAGCTTGCAGAAAGCTGCTATGAGAGTCTCATTTGCAGAAAACACAGTGTGATACTATGATACTTATATATTGGTTTTTGTCCATGGTTCCTGGCTCATGCTACTCTCTGACCTTCTCCTGCCCTCCTCTTACCTGCTCCTTTTTCTCCCCAAGGCAAGAAATTCTCTGACTTACCTTAGCTGATGGTAGGTCATAAGACCCCTATTTCAGGAGGAGCCCTGCCTCATGCCTGGGAGGAAGGAATGCTGCACAGAGGTCAAAAAGAACCTGAACAAACAGGTCTTGCTGGGTTCCCCCACCAGTCTGTTAGTGTTAGTTCATAGCCTTTTTGTCCAGTCACATTTCTACATGGTTGTCTGTGCTTCAGTCATGCCTGTGTAATGAAGCTTCCATAAAAATCCAAGAGTACAAGGTTTGGAGAGTTTCCAGATGGCTAAACGTGGAGATTCCTGAAGGGTGGTACATGTGGGGAGGGCATGGAAGCTCCGTGCTCTTTCTTTCTCCGATACCTTACCCTGTGCATCTCTTCACCTGTATTCTTTGTAATCTCTTTTATAATAAACCAATAAACATAAATATGTGTTTCCTTGAGTTCTGTGAGCCATTCAAGGAAACCAACTGAACCCAAGGAAGGGGTTGTGGGAACACTGATTTATAGCTGATTGGTCAGAAGTTCCAGAGGCCTGGGCTTGAGACTGGCATCTGAAGTGGGGTGAGGGGGGAGGAGTCCTGGGGACTGAGTCCCCACCCTATGCAAACTGATGCTATCTCCAGGTAGATAGTATTGTAATTGAATCGGAGGGCACCCAGTTGGTGTCTGTTGGAGAACTGCTGACTTATATGCCAGTGGGGAGAAATCCCTACACATTTGGTCACAGAAGTTGGTCTTCTGTGTGTGTCGATTGTTGCTGAGTAAGAGTATAAGAAAACACACTTCTGTGCGTATTTTTTTTTTTTTTTAAAGATGACTGGTAAGGGGAACTTAACCCTTGACTTGGTGTTGTCAGCACCATGCTCACCCAGTGAGCAAACCAGCCATCCCTATATGGGATCCGAACCCGTGGCCTTGGTGTTATCAGCACCACACTCTCCCGAGTGAGCCACAGGCCAGCCCCCTGTGTGTATTTTTTCTCACTCACTCAAACACACAGCGAAGACTCAAAATACATAATTGCAGGGCTGGCCCGTGGCTCACTCAGGAGAGTGTGGTGCTGATAACATCAAGGCCATGGGTTTGGATCCTTATATAGGGACGGTTGGTTAGCTCAATGGCTGAGCGTGGTGCTGACAACACAAAGCCAAGGGTTAAGATCCCCTTACCAGTCATCTTTTATTAAAAACAAAAACAAAAACATAATTTCAAAGTGTCTAATGCTGTAAATGAAAAAGTCAGATGTTGAGGATTTGAAAACTGGTCAAAAAATTCATCGTATGTCTACATATGAGACTTAAATTATAAAATGCACTCAGAGATATATCTTTCCATTTTTCCTTTAGTTACATCTTTTAGTTATATTAAGAGTTCCCCCATGGGTCAGGGATTGCAAACTCAAATGCCTCAGTGGCTTGAAAGGTAAAGTAAATGAGTGACTAGCTGGGAGTCAGGGGATTGTGGTGGACTGAAGAATACATGCCATACTTAGAAATAATTTAAAGTCAAAGAAACTGAAAACACTGCAAGACAAACAATACAAAATATTACAAAGTCATTTCTGTGGGCTGTCAGCTTGTGACCTCTGGCGGGACAAACCTCCTCAGCACAGCATTCATAACCCTGCATAATCTGTTCTCCACGCAACTGAGTCCTCCCTCTCCTCATTCCCCACCCTGCAACACCTGTATCACAATGAAGGACTTGCAGTTTCCCGACTGCACCACCATGTTGTTTTGTGGCTTCTCTGGCCTTACACTACTTTCTCTACCTAGAATGCCTTCTACTCTCCTTAACAGACCTCTATTCCCTAGTCTCCAGCAAGATCTTGGCTGGACTCTGAACCCAACAGCCCCAGCTCCAAGACACTTCAAACAAAATCTGCCCTACGCTGACCTCTTTATCTACCCATATCATCACTCAAATTCCTCCTCTTTGAAAGGAGTAGTAAGAGACCGGAAATGGGAGAGAAGTTAGGAGACTGTTGCAATAGACCCAGAAAGAAATGATAGTAAATTAATGAATAACTAGCTGGTTAATCGTTTAAATGAATGAATGAATCATGGCCAACCTCCCTGGTGGTTATATCACTCAGTATCTGGTTTAGCTCTTATACAACCTTCCTTATTCCCACATTGTTTCCCACTCCACTCCCCATATTCCTTGATTCTCTGAGGCCTAAGAGTTGGTTGGGAGAAACAGAAGAATAGTTTCAGGTTTATAGGGAAGAGGACTGTCACCCTTGGCCCTTCTAGGTTTAGGTTGTGACCACTGCTTCTTCCAAAGCTCTCTTCTCTTTGGACACTCCATTTTGGGACCCACCTATCTGTGCCTCTCTTCTTCCCCAACGCTCTTTCTACACCAGATGCCTACTTTCTTTTCTTTCTTTTTTTTTTTTTTAAAAGATGACCGGTAAGGGGATCTTAACCCTTGACTTGGTGTTGTCAGCACCACGCTCAGCCAGTGAGCGAACCGGCCATCCCTATATGGGATCCGAACCCGGGGCCTTGGTGTTATCAGCACCGCACTCTACCGAGTGAGCCACGGGCCTATGTGCTTTCCCTCTCCTACTCAACTCCCTCCAGCCCCCAGCAAAACAATTTCTTTTTTAAAAAAAATTTTTTTGGCAGCTGGCCAGTAAGGGGAACCAAACCCTTGACCTTGGTGTTACAAGGCTGAGTTCTTTTTTTTTTTTTTTAAAAAGATGACCGGTAAGGGTTTCGTGTCCGGTAACGGATAGCAACCCTCAGTGTCACGCCCATACCGGACCGGGACCGGCAACGGGATCGCAACCCTCCGTGTCGCACCCGCACCTCGCTCAGCCAGTGAGCGGGAACCGGTCTGTATGTGGGATCCGAACCCCCGGCGGGAGCACCACCGCGCTCCCAAGCGGCGCACTGTAGCAGTGCGCCACCGGGCCGGCCCAGGGGATCTTAACCCTTGACTTGGTGTTGTCAGCACCACGCTCACCCAGTGAGCTAACCGGCCATCCCTATATGGGATCCGAACCTGTGGCCTTGGTGTTATCAGCACCGCACTCTCCCGAGTGAGCCACAGGCCGGTCCCTACAAGGCTGAGTTCTAACCAACTGAGCCAACCAGCCAGCCCACCAATTTCTAACCACTTACCTCCTCCCCATCTTAGGCAACGAGCCAGATCATTTCCAGTGCCCAGGGGCAACACAGCAACAGGAGGCACAAAAGGCAAGCTGGCTTTGTCTGGGGAGGCAGGTGAAGAGAAGGATGGAGGGAGGCAGGTCTGGAAGACCACTGCCCCAGTGTCTTGCCCAGGGCTTCTCCCTGCACTGACCAATTGCCTCTAGAATCCAGCCTACTGTGCCATCTCCACCACACACCAAAATCCGACTATCAGGAACATCTTTGAAGAATTTGAGCCTGCGACAAAAGAAGAGAGAGAAGATGAAGAAGGATGACAAGACCGAGGCTACATAACTCCTAGACAGGCAGATTACTTCTTGTCTCTCATTCCTATGACTCTCTTCACCTTTTTTTTTTTTTTTTTTTTTAAAAAAGATGACCGGTAAGGGGATCTCAACCCTTGGCTTGGTGTTGTCAGCACCACGCTCAGCCAGTGAGCAAACCGGCCATCCCTATATGGGATCCGAACCCATGGCCTTGGTGTTATTAGCACCGCACTCTACCGAGTGAGCCACGGGCCGGCCCCAACTCTCTTCACCTTTGTCAAAAGACTTGGGTCAGGGCCGGCCCGTGGCTCACTCGGGAGAGTGCGGTGCTGATAACACCAAGGCCTCGGGTTCGGATCCCACATAGGGATGGCCGGTTCGCTCACTGGCTGAGTGTGGTGCTGACAACACCAAGTCAAGGGTTAAGATCCCCTTACCAGTCATCTTTAGGAAAAAAAAAAAAAAAAAAGACTTGGGTCAAAAGGGCAGAGAAGAGGACAGAGGAGAAAGTTATAGCCACTCTTCAATGGTTAAGGAAAAATTGGTATCTTCATCCTTTGAGAGCAGGACAAAGATGGGTCAGAGAGCTCAGAGGATGGCATAACCAGTGACCTTAGGGAGAGAAGCCCTCTGAATTCTCGCCTCTTGGGGTCATATAGCCTTCCTCTCCCAACATGCATAGATACACAGACACAGAAAAACACTGTGATACTGCCCCTAACCTAAACTCACCCTGGCTCAGGAGCATCCTTTTGGAGGTTAAACACTTGTCGAGGGTTTAGTATATACTGGAATTTCCAAAGCACCCTGTGTGAAGGAAAAAGGAAAGCTCATGGTGGGGGTGAGGGGAGGGTTATATTCTGTATCCCACCCTCTTGAAGTTCTTCCTCCTTGAGGCATGCCTCCTCCATATACACACATTCCCTTCCTCCCTCCAAGATCTGTAGGCCCTCCGTCTCCATCTTAGAAGACCCAGTATCTCTCTCCTCACCTCTGCCCCTGCTTCCCGCCACTCTTAGGATTGACGAAGACTAGAAGTGGGTGGGTGTTAGGAACAGGGTCAATCTGCATTTTGGGAAGAAAATAAGAATAAGGAAAGCAGATTTTTGTCAGGGTTAAGATGGGCCCTGGAGCCAGAGGCAGAGGGCCGGCATTCCATCAAGATGCTTTCCCCTCCCTCCACTTTTCACTGCCCTCCCCTACCAGGATGGAGCTTCTAAAGATCAGGCACCACCCCCAGGCTTTCCCACTTCATTTCCTCCCTTGAGGGCTCCAGTGAAGAATCAGCTACCATCATGAAGCCCAAGCCCCTCAGCCCTGTACCCGCAGAGCCTCAGAGGTGCTCAAATTTAAATCATCCATGGTCTTCTGATTTGATTTGCTAGTTTTACGATCCTGTCCAGAGGCCTGGAAGGAGAACAAAACAGAGGGAAGGAAAACTGGATTGTGTGCAAATCCCCAAACACGAGTCTAACCTGAATCCTAAAAGTATAGGCTCCCTGTTCTAAAAGTCATTCTGTGTGTCTGTCGGTGTGTGTGGGGGGGAAATCAGAAAGGCACTCCTGTCCCCTCCCAGCTGCTGCCTGAGGGTCTCACCAGGACGCTGGGATAGATTGAAGACGGAGGCAGGATGTGATCACGGAGCAGCCCACAGTCGCACTCATGGCCCATGGCTTTCAAGCAGTCATCGTGGATCTGAAAGACAAGGTGAACACAGAGAGATCATGTAGGTGACCCTGCCTCAACGTGGAGGTCTGGACTGGAAAGAGAGCTGTTGGGAACAGGGGCAATTGTGGCTGTAAGGGAGACCTGGCCAGGGAGAAAGGGCCCTCACGCATAGCCTGGAGGGAAAACTCCTGAACTGACCTCTAGGTGGCACCATACACAATGCAACCCGGTTAGGCTGTGGTAGGTCCGGATTTTTTTCTGACAGCGATCGCAGCGGCCGGACTCACAGCCTCCTCGAACCCACACATGTGATTGAACCTTAGGGAGAAAGGCAGTCCCATGTCTGGGAGGGTCTCGGCAGTGACTGGGGGAAGGAGGGGCTGAAGGCAGCAATGGGCCAAGGGTCAGGGCCAGGGCGCGGGTGGTGATGGGGTGGGGGAGTGTGAGGTCACTCACACCAATGTCCTTCCGAGACTTGGCATAGGTGCTGACTTCACAAGGCATGGCCTTCATGGCACACTGGTCGTGAACAGTGTACTTACAGACTGAGGGGAGAGGGAAGGTCAGAGCCTTAGCTGCAGCTCCTCCCCCTATTTCCTCCTTACCTGGGGGCGAGGCAGGATCACTTACTGGAGCAAGACATATAAACCCTTGCTGTGACGGTGTGGCAGAGGATTAAAGTTTGGGGTACGGGCTCAACTCCAAGAACTGTGTCTTTTCCTCACTCTTCCTCCTAAAAGGGCAACTGCTGCCCCATGTCTGTCCCCACATCATCCACGTGCCAGGCAGGAACTGAGTTGGATGATGCATGGGACACCCAGATATAACAAAAATAATAATAAATAATATTTATTGCATTTTTAAGTATGTGCACACACCGTGTGAAGCACTTTTCTTGCATCAACTTATTTAATGCCCACAATTACCTCATTTTCAGTTGAGGAAACTAAGGCATAAGGAAGTTATGTGGCTTTCCCCCTGTTACATAACTAGTCAGTGGCAGAGCCCAGGATTCAAACCCAGGTCTCCCTAAGTTCAGAACGCCAGGCTCCCACAGACAGCTGGGCTGTCCCTCTTCTCCCACACTCCCAGGTCCCCTCACTCACGGTTACAGCTTAGCCCCTGTTTGCCAAGACCAATGCTTGACTCGCACAGGTTGCAGTAGACTGGTCTGGGGAACCTCTTGGGTCTCCACATGTGCTGCCCATCATCCTTCAGAGTCTGGAGGGCACAGCAGATACTAGGGAGGGTCTAAGCCCTTAGAAGACCAACCTCTGGTGAGCACAACCCAAGGCAGCTATCTTACTCAAACTCACAAGTCTCTCCTACTTACCATTTCCAGGCCCAACAGCACTAGCAGTGGTACGGTGGTGGCCCCAGCCCGGACCCACTCAGCTAGGGAGACAGAGCCGCTGCCATCATAGTCAATTTCTTTCATCATCTCCTGAAGAATCTGATCAGAGAGTGGGGAGGGACTTTTGGTATGAGTGGTCTCAAAACCTCTCCACGTCTCTTAGGGTACCCAGCCCAGCTATCCTAGCTGAGGGGACCAGGCTGCCTGTCAGAGACATGGTAAGGCAGATGCAGGAGTCACCAGGGAAGAATGTGCAAGAAGGGAAAAAATGAAGGAAGGACTACCTACCGGCTTCAGCTCAGATACATCCCAATCCATGTATTCAGCCACTCGCATCATTTGTAGGATGATTTTGTCCACTTCCTGGGGCAAAGAGGATAAGAGCCACAGCCATATTCACTCACTACCACCATCCAAACTCTTCTCCAGAAATCAGGGTTCCCGGATTTCACCCCCAGACCCACCTCTAACTCTCAGGTGCCTCTGCCAAGTAAATGAATGTGTTTGCATCTTTGCAAGGCAGCCCCCAATTCATGTTTCCAACCTTCTCTTTTAGAGGTCAAGAGTTTGGCACCTACTCCCAAATTTAGCCCTAAAGGACTCAACCTCTCCCTCTAGCGTCCTCTGCTTCTTAAGACCCTGGAAGAGTTGGGGTAGGAGGTCACAGACAAACAGATTCATACTCCCTTGCCCAGCACACAGGTTCCCCAACTCACTGAGCTGTCGAGGATCCCATTTCTGTCCGTGTCGTACAGCTTGAAGGTGACTGTGGGGTGTTTTAGGGGGGCCAGGGTCAGTTTGTGAGTGATACCCAAAGAATTCATACCAGAATACAGGAGAAACAAAGATAGGGAAAGAGCTTTTGGGTGAAGAGCCTAGAGCTTGGGATGGGACCAAGAAAGGAAACAAAAAGGGAGGGAAACAGGCATGGATTCCACCCTCGGTGAATCTGATAGGGAAGACAGCACATATTCTCACATCCCAAGAACGTCCCACGCCACCTACATGAGAATGTACAAGACAGGGGAACTGGGGTGACTATGGTAGATGGCATTAGATATAAGTAGTCTGGGGGGACAGAAGAAATAGGCCCATTCTCTGGCCCCAATTTATCTAGCTCTGTCAGCCCTTAAAAATCCTGAAAGAACAAGGTAAGGGGGCCGAGCCCGTGGCGCACTCGGGAGAGTGCGGCGCTGTGATCGCAGCAGTGCTCCCGCTGCGGGTTCGGATCCTATATAGGGATGACCGGTGCGCTCCCAGCGCTCACTGGCTGAGCGCGGTGCAGCCGGTCTCAAAAAGGACAAAAAAAAAAGAACGAGGTAAGGGGGTAAGGGAGGCTGGGGAACACCTCCTTCTCACTTCACCTCCTCCTCCCCCAATACAGAATGGCAACTCACATTCTAGCTTGTCTTCTGGTCGGCCACCCTCCAGAAGGGAAAAGTAGCAGGAGACATCACTAAGACACACCACATCTGGTTAAAAATAGTACAGCAGATCTGATGTCAGGACACCCTCCACTCTGGCTCTTCTCTTCTCCTTTGTTTGTTCCAACTCTCCCCTTTAACTTTCCCTACTCTAGCTCCTAGACCAGCCTGACCACCCTCCACAGTCTCTCCCCCAAAATGCCCACAATATGTGACTCAATTCAACTCTCATGCCCAAACCCACACTAATCTGACTTTTCATTTGGAGGCCCAGCCCACTCCTAACTGCTATACCATACCTTTTCTCACAGTCTCATCTGAATGATCAGTCTGGAAGGATTGAAACAGTGCCCGGCTTAGGTGACTGGGAATATTATCCACTTCCAGATAGATTTTCAGGAATTGCTGGAATCCTTCATACCCGACAGCCTATGATGAGAGTGACCATTACCCTGGGGAGTCTGCAGGGTGGGAGCTGGGTACTGAAGAATTGAGAATAGCGGGGACAGAGACTGTAAGTACAAAGCTGAGAAGCAGCTGAGGCAGGAGTATAGTTTCTTGCACCAAGTCCTGAGTTAATAGAATCTCTTGTTTTGTCCTAAAGCAATGGCTGCAGTGACAATGGATACTGATTTATCCATACTGATACTGATAGTGAAGGTTGGGCCCAGAATAATCCATGGAAGCTGGGGGATCCCAATGGAGTAGCAAAAACAAGATGGAAGGAGTTGGTCAAGAAGAGAATTTCCCAGCTGCCACTCACATCTCCTTGGAGATATTTAGCCATCTCACCATCCTCGAAGAGCTTTAGGACATCACTGACTTTTTTGGTAGAGTCTAGGGTGCGAAGAGAGTAAAAGCAGAACATTAGTCCAGCTTGGCTCTCTGTGCCTTCTGCCAGAGTCCCACCCAGACATCCAGCAGGAAAAAAATATTTAAATGAGATGAAGAAAGAAGAAATTCCAAGAAGAAACACAGAAATACAGAATGGAAAACATTTCAGATCCTCCAGTGTGGTACCACTATTTACTCCTTTTTAAAAAAAAAAAAAAAAAGATGACCGGTAAGGGGATCTTAACCCTTGACTTGGTGTTGTCAGCACCACACTCTCCCAAGTGAGCGAACCAGCCATCCCTATATGGGATCCGAACCCGGGGCCTTGGTGTTATCAGCACCACACTTTCCCGAGTGAGCCACGGGCTGGCCCTTACTCCTTTTCTTTGAGACCTGGAGCCAGCTGTCAAGGTACAGAGAAGGTTGGTAGAGAGCTCAGACCTCAGGCATATCCCCATGTCCCTCTCCTCCCTTTTCCAGTCATAGGAACAGACTGGCTCAAGACCACTGGGGGAACTGGGGGAAATGTGGGGTGGGGGGAACTGGGGGAAGTGTGTGTGTGTGTGTGTGTGATGAGAAGGAGGAGGGAGTCCCCGGGGTAGGGTCTCCAGAACTGGAGGGCTGGGAGGAAGACTCACATTCCATGTATTTTTGCAACTGGGCAAAATCACTGGGGCTTATTAGGCCCCTCTCCTTGGCCATCTTTCTGTTTTTCTTAAGGATGGCCACAAAGAGAGCGTCGTAGTAATACTTCCGGTGCTTGGATCTCTGCAGAGGGTAGACCTGGAGGAAGATGACAAGAGCTTGCCGTGGGAAGAGCCAGCTGTCTGCATCTCTTTCCTTCTGTCTGCTCCATTCAGTCTCTACTCCCACTATTCTTTCTCTCTTTTTAAATTTCTTTTTCTTTTGTCAAAGACAAGGATAAGTGAACCCAGTATTATTTCTGTTCTTTCCTTGTCTCTGAGTCCCTCCCTAAATCTCTTCCTTTCCCTGTGTCCCTCTCTCCTGTGTCTCTGCTCTCCCTGACAGTGTCTGCCTTCTGTCTCTGTTTTCTCTGACTCATCTCTGACTTTCTCTCCTCCATTTCTGGATCCTTTTCTGCCCTCTGACTTCTCACCCATTCTGTCTTGATTCATCTGACCACCTCCTCCTCTACCCCGGCTTTCACAGTCTGTATATGTTTCTGTGAGTGTCCCTCGCCTGTTTCTGCGTCTTCTCCTGCTACCCTCAATCTCTGCAGTCTCTCCCATCTCGGGTCCCCGCAGTCTCAGCCCTCCGGTGCTGCTTACTGCTTTAGCGCGCCTCCCGGGCCACGACCCCATCTTGCTCCGCCTCCAGCCCCAGCCCGCAGCGCCGCTTAGCCACCTACTCCCCGAGCCACCCACGCCCCGCAACGACCTCTAGCGCTTCTGACGCGCGACACACAACCAGCTCTGGCCGGGTCCCTATCCCCGGCCCCGGTTTGCTTGCGGAGCTCCACTGGGGAAGGGCGGGGGACCCAGGCGCGCGGGGTGGGGAGGAGGTGGGGGAGGAAGGCTCTGGGCACCCGCCTGGTTTCCCAGTGCCGGGCGGGTGGAGCAGAGTGCCGGAGTCTGGGATGCCGGGGTCTTCCTTCCACCCTACTAGGTTAGAAGTGTTTAGGGAGCCCCAACTTTCGGCTATCGGACCCAGGGACCAAAGAGGAGCTATCACATCACGTGGATACTGCCGACCACTGGCCTAGAGACCAAGTCACCGAGGTTAACTTGCCTGGATGATTCAATAACAATAATAACTATAATATACTTACTTTAGTACAGTACAGCACAGTTTGGGAGTCAAACAGAACTAGGACCAGTCATATCTGGGTTCCATTCTTAGCTCTGTTACCACTGTTACTTTACAAGTTACATATGTAAAATGGAGAGAATGATACCTATCTTTCACAGTTATAGGGCTTAAGTAAAGTAATAGATGAAAAGTGCCTAGCATATATGCCTGGCGTATAGGAGGCCTAAAGAAATGGTAGTTATTATTGTATTAACAATTAAAATCAAATCCTGCAAGACAGGAAATTATTGGTATAGCAATTCTACAGATGAAGAAACTGGACCCAAAAAAGAGAGAGGGGAAGAAAGACACTGGAGCTCAGAGAGGCTGTGACTTCTTAGGCAGCTGATAAGTGGAAAAGCCGAGGCTCCAGCCAACTCCTTGCCTCAACTGAAATGTCAGCTCCTCCAAGAGACCTTCCCTAATCACTCCATCTGAAAGTAGCCCCCCTCCGTTGGACAGTACTCTCCTTTTTTGCTTCACAGAACTTATCAAAAGTAGAAATTATCTTCCTTATTTATTTGCTTCTTTTTTTATCGTTTGTCCTCCACCAAAATGTAAGTCCCATAAGGGCAGGAACTTCTCAATTTTGTTCACCATTGGATCTCCAGTATCTAAAACAGTGCCCAGGATGTAATGGGTGCTCAATATTCGTTGTACAAATGTTGTGTACAGCTGGGGAGTCATATTTTGGGACTATTAATCCAAGTATGGTTAAATGGGATGCCAGAGTGTCATGGTGGACTATGAGATAATTTGGAACACATATGGTAGGTGCTAAATAAATATTTGTTAAATAATGAATGATGCTAAAAAGCATTTATTGAGGTGCTCCATCAAATATTCTGACCTCCATCAACTCATTAGGGCTTGTTGGGTCAGGCTCAGGGAGACAGAGCCAACAAGAATAACCCAGCTCCTTTCCTTTCTGATGGTGCAAGAACCTTCTTTGCAGCCTGTCCTTGGGATATCTGTGCTGTCTACCTCTATGCAGCACACCATTCCTGTTCTAGGGGCTCTCTGGGAACATTTAGAAGGAAGTTCTGAGACACTGACATCCTGGAGAAAGGACTCTGCCCATCTGGCCCTTTTCAATGACTATAATCTAACTCCAACTTCTGCTGCCAACAGATCTAATGAATATATAACAGTCTTATGGCTAATGGGGCCTGTATGGCTTAATTACCCTCTCTGATTACCCTCTAGGGATTCTTAGATAACACCAAAGTTCTAGGAAATGTAATCTGAGGGAGAAAGTGACAGGGAAAGAGCAAACAAAGAATGACGAAAAAGACAGAGGGCAGGACACCTCCCCTGTCTTTCTTTTCACAATAACCCTACTCTTTTTTGCCCCTTCCTAGCTCCCCAGGTCTTAAACTTGGAGAAGTAGTAGAGTATATAGTATATAGAGGTTAAGAGAATGGACTTTCTTATTAGACAGTCATGGATTAGACTCCTAGCCCTTATATGGTCATTTCACTTCCCTGAACTTCAGTTTTTTCATTGTTAAAATTGGTACCTATAGAAATCAGTCACAATGTGGGGATTAAATAAGATAATATGTGCAATATACTTAGCAAACTGCATGGCACAGAGTAAGAACTCAATGAACATTAGCTATTGGTTAAATGTGTCACCCAAAAGTTCACGTACTGGAAACTTGATCTCCACTGTAACAGTGTTAAGAGGGTGGGAAATCCAATTATGGTATTTGAAAGGTGAGGCCTTTAAGATGTCAATAGATTTCAAGGACCTTGCCCTAGTGAATGAACAATCCATTACTCCATGGAGTAATGGGTTGATGGTTTAATGGGTGGTCATGGGTGTGGTTCTGACGGCTTTATAAAGACAGCGATTGAGACTTAATTCTCTCTTGCTCAGCTCATTTCTCTCCCCACAGTGAAACCCTGAGTTGCTGTGGAGAGTCACCACCAAGAACAAGGCCCTCACCAGATGTGCCCCCGGACTGTAGACTTCCTAGCTTCCCAAACTGTAAGAAATTAATTTCATTTCTTTATACATTACTCAGTTTCAGGTATTCTGTTATAAGCAACAGAAATGGGCTAATACAGCTATTATCATTCTTATACAAGGGTGGTACCTAGAAAAACATATCTGGAGATTAGGAAAAATGGTATCTTTGAGCCAGGAAGGCATAAATTCTAGGGACTCCCAGCAACAGTGAAGCCCAGTTGGACACCTTCCCTTCCTGTTATATATGTCAGATGCAGACATGTAGTATCAGGCTCCTGCTCTTTGACTCTGGGAGGATGATGAGGTGGCTAGAAACTAGACTGTCAGGGTACAAGGACATCCCTTGGCTGGGACCTTGGACATAAGGGCTGCTGGGATAGTTCAGTTGGACTCCTGACTTCTCTCATTGAAAGTGTGGCTGCCCCTGGAGCTGAAGGGCAGCAAACTGCAGGATCCTGGGGACTTAAAGACCTGGAACAAGTCCAATTTTGTCCTCCAACTCCATCCGAACCCTGAGGCTATAACCTGGACTAGTCCAGGCGAATGCCAGGGCTGGGAAGGTGAGGTCTGCTCCCTGCCCCGCCTGCCAGCTATTTGTGACTCATTCTTCCTTTCCCTCCTCTGGTTTCCCTGCCAGCCCCTACCAACTTGGGGTGAGAAAGGAAGAGGTTGACTTGGAGGCAGAGAATCCTAGAACATCCTCAGAGCTGGGAGTCGCCAACTCATATTTTACACAGGAGGAAACTGAGGCCCAGAGAGAGAGTGACTCTCTCAGGGTCACATCCAGACTTGACTTGAGACACCCTGTCCTTAGCCATTCCACTAAATCTTAGTGCCTCTAGTTCTCTAGATTTAATTTTAAACACCAAATACTAAAATTGCTGGTAACCAAAAGATAAATATTATTTCCAAAGCCAGTGCTAACATTTAAAGTTTCCTTTTTCACTTCAGCATTCATTGCTGACATTCCAAATCATGTAAGTTGACGATTACTCAAGAATTAGCTATGCCCCCAGAACATTCAAGCTGTCCAGCAAGAAACCCCAAGGAGTAGGCCCAGGCCTGGTTACCTGGACTTCTGACTCCCTTAACAACACCAGGAGTGTATCTTCTTTCCCAGGACTGAGGGAGGGTCTATTCTTCCTTGCCCCTGAGAGGGAATCATTTGGCTTGAAGCCTCAAAATTCATTAAACCTCCAGAGACATCGCAGATTGTAGTGTTGCCTGGTAAAGGGGGTGGTATGTGTGTGTGCCTGTGTGTGTGTGGAGGGTGTCATTGCGTAGTACAGGAGGAAGTTACAATGTTGGCATGGTTGGGGGATGTGGGCTTGTATGTTCTGAGGCTGAGAGATGCCCAATAACATTTGCATTTCCTCCTCATTAAAGCTCATTTCTCCTATTTAAAGTTGAAAAGTGGGACTCAGACCTAGACATTTTCAGAAACTTCCCAGTGACAGGTGTGGAAAGGATAGGGTGGGAAGTTGGGGACCAGGGGGCCAAAGAACACTTCTCCACCCATGCGGCACTGCGGAGATTCCAAAAGGGACTTTCCTCCGAGTCGGGTCATTGGGAACCGAGCTTGTCCATCCCTCCGAGTGAGCGGGAGGTATGGAGGGGAAGGTCTGGGGAAATGCTGCCTGGTTCTGGCCCAGCTCTCCCGCCGCCCCCTGCGTCCCGGCGCAAACCCTTCTAGCTACCCGCTCCAGCTGTCACGCTTCCTCCTTCCCGACCCAGCAGCCCTAACCCAGCCCGTGGGGCGTCCCCTCCCGCGGCCCCCGACTGCTCCCATGGGGGAGAGTGGGAGGCGGCGGAGCCTTGTGGGGTCTCTACCTTGCCGGGGTAGGGCGCGCGGTCGGAGCTGAAGCGCCGGCACTGGACCTGGAACCCGGGCTGGGCTGGAGGGGACGGGCCAGGCAGACGCGGCAGTCGCGGGGCCGCCCCTCTCCTGACGACACAGCTGCCCGCCCCCCACCCCAGCTTGCCCGCCCGCGCCCGCTCCCGGCGCCCCCAACTCCGGAAACTTGGAGGTTGGAGAGGCTCTGTTTCCAGGTGTTCAGTTCGCCATAACCTGCTTCCCCCTCCCCCGAATATCTCGAGGGTTCTGGTCTGTGCCACTTTCTCCACTTCCTACGCTTCTCATTTTCTTCCCGAGCCTGATTCTCATTTTCTTCCCGGGCATCTCTGCTTCTATTTTCCCTTCTCTCTAATCATTCACACACAGCCTCTCCCCTCATCGCAAACCTGGCAGGCCAAGATAGGGACAGGCTGATAGAGGAGCTTGGCAGCTAACCACCTAACTAATGTCTCGCCCTCTCCTAATTGCTGCCATCCTGGACTTCCCTGCCTAGTTCCTTTCCATCCACCATTGACTTCATATTCAAGAGACTCCACAGGGGCAAGTTCCAGACTCCACATGAGGAGACCCAAACACCTCCCATCCCCCATTGGCTCCACACTGCTTGTCACATTGAGATAAACTGCCCACCTTCTCCTCCAGGTTCAGCACCTCCCTTTGAGACCTATTTTCTCCAGTCTAAGGGAACTTCCTTCTTTCAAGACTCATATCCTCTCTTTAATTCTAGGGTGGAGGTTTGGGTGCAAAGAGCACTCTGGTCTGCGTCCGCCCTTTCTCCATGCCCTAATCCTCCTCCCACTTTACCAGCTGACCTTGGCAGGTGGTGCAGAAAGCCCTGGCCAAAAGTAGGGGGTGAAAGGAGATCCTTTCCGCTTCGGCCTTTAAACTGTTCTGAAGTTGTCAAGGCTCTTGGGGCAGCATGGATGGTGGTGAGGCTGGTAGAGCAAGGGAGAGAGACAGAGGCCTAGTGGTAGGAACTGGGGACCCAGGCATCCTGCTACCTGGCCCCACCCCAACTCCT